TAACTAGTTGAGCCATCAGGGACAGATTTGCTGACTCAGAGGCTCTGTTTTTTAATCCGGGAAATGGAATGAATCACTACCCTGTATATTTTTGTTGCAGTTAAATGAGACCATGCATATAATGCATATGAAGTGCTTACCCAACTGGATACACATAGGGCCAGTTAGTAAATGTTAGCTCACTTTCTTTTTTATGAGTTTGTAAATTTTTATTAATGAAAATGGCTATAAAATACTTTTTATTTAATAGCAACAAAAATCCAATTTTAAGAAGTCAGTTACACTGTTGTTGCTGAAATGGGTTCCTCTAGCTCAGTGAGGACACAGGGCCAAGAGGGTGCCAGTGACCTTAACATCCAGGTGAAGGAGTAGAGCAGAGGGAAATGTGCCAGCTTCTCAGCCCACTCCCATCATGGAGCTGCAAGATGGTGAGGGCCAGTCCATTTCCTGGCTCTGCTCTAAGATGCTGAAAATATATCCTGCAAACCATCTCCACATCCTCGAGGTAATTTACCTAAATGCATGAGCCTATATATAAGAAGGTGTTAAGCAACCCTAACTCATTAAGCTAACAATTTTTCTACGTTTGAGAAACAGCATGATCCAGATGTTGGATGATACCTATGTGAGCCTGTAAGCTCACTTTCTTTTTGTGATCTAGCAACTGGGTACCATTAGTGCCTTGGCTCTCAGTAAAAACGTCGTGGTGCATTTAATCAGCTAGACTGTGCTATTAGCAAGTATTTTGCACATCTGTCATGCTTCATCAAGGAAATGTTCCATTGCACACAGTTTGGAATTACTGACACATCTGTTTAAGTATACTAGAATTACCTATGTGATGATTTACCAATAAAAGTATCTTAATTTTCCAGAATAGTTCTTTCATGGTAGTAGAAAACAGAGAGATATCTACATTTAAAAAAAGCAAAACAAAACAAAGCAAAAACAAAACTTGCTTTAAATAAAAACTCCTTTTAAAAGTGCTAAGTGTTGGAGCTGGGAATATGGCTTCGTGGTATAGTGTTTCTCTAGTTTGTATGAGGTCCTGGGTTCTATTCTTTAGTACCACATAAATAATAAATAAAATAAATACAATTAAAGGAGAAAAAATTTAAAAGTAAATAAATAAAAGTGCCAAGAGTCAAAACATCTACTCCAGAAGCTATGGACATGAGAGAGTGGAGATGATGTGAATAGTGAAAGAAGAAGTGAGATTTTCACCGGATAGAATTCAAAGTACGTGAAAGATCTTTTAACTCCCTCCTTTCACAACTGAGTGATATTTTCTGTCACAAAATAGTTTTAGGCAGTCCCCAAAATGGTGAGGACGCGGATGAAACATTGGGCCCTCTATCCAGGTGGGTACTTCCCAATCATGTGACTATGTAAAAGCAGAACACATTTTTTTCCATGTATAAGTTGTAGCTGCCTCTTGTCATTCATAGCAAGATATTTTTGTGTTTCGTAACCTGGTGTAACTGGATAAATATATGATCACATTTGCTGCTTTAACAGGTGTTTTTGTTGAGTCAAATTATTGCAAACCTTTAACAGAAACCTAAATGAAAAACTGAGAGTGGCATTTGCTTTTCTTCAATCTTCAAATGAGTACTGAGGATATTTGTATTGTCACAAATGAAGGCTTTTATTTCCAAAATTGGCTAAATGACATGTGAATATATGGCATAATTGGTCCTGTTGATAAGCTGGATACCGTGAAAAGTTACAGAGGAATGCACACTGCTCTGTTGGGCAGAGATAGGCAAACAAACGCAGAATCTTATCAAAAGAATCCATTGAAGTGGGGATGTCTGAGAAAGCAAAGGTTTGCAGCTTGGAGGACGGAGGACTTAGTTCCACTTTATTCTATGGACAGAGCTCTTCCTGCCATAGTTAGGGAGCCAGAAAATAATACTTAGAATACTGGATTGTCTCTGCCCAAGGGAAAATGCTTTTGTTTTATCCATTTCTATTTTTCTTCTGCATGCACAGACAGGTGCCAATTTGAAGCCTGCTGATAGCTGAAGTAGAGAGACCAGCTATTGTAAGTGACATTCATTTTCCTCACAGATGACCCCCTGATTTACACATAACTACCACTTTGCCTTGATGGAATGAAAAGCCCAAGCTGAATATGGTTTAGCAGAAACTGCTAAGCTCAGAGAGGTCTCCAGTCATTTTTCACTTGGAATTAAGCGATCTCTTCATCTTCTACTTCACATGTGGTGCTTAGAGCATCAGCATTGCCTGGGGTCTGTTCAGAAATGCTGAATTTGAGCCTTTAGCTCCAGCCTGCTAAATCAGAACTGGCATTAGACAAAATCTTTGTGAAAATTCATGCACAGTAACCTTTCAGAAATCTAAGTATTGCTGTATAGGTCTTGCCCCATTATTATATTAGAAAAGTCAAACACTAGAAATATTGGCTAATTAGAGAAAAAAATGAACTCTGTTAGTATCCTCCAGAGAAACAAAACTAAGAGAATGCAGAGAAATGGAGATTTATTATAAGTAATTGTCTTACACAGTTAGGAAGATGAGAGGTCCCAAGATCTCAGAGACAATGGTATAATACCAGGCTGAATCTGAGTACTTGAAAACCAGAACTGATTATGTAAATTCTAGTTTGAAGATGGCAGGCTAAACACCCAGGAAAAAGTGATATTTGTGTTCTGAAGTCTAATGCAGGGAAAAATCTAATGTCCAAGATCCTGTCATCAGACAAGTGTCTTGCTTACTTTGACCTTGACATTTTTTTTCAATTTTATTTTATTGTAAAGATACTGTACAGAAGGGTTACAGTTACATAAGGTAATGAGTACATTTCTTGTCAAGCATTATTCCTCCTCCCTTTTTGTTCTTCCACAATCCCTTCCCTCCCCACCTTTTTTTACTCCTCCCCCTTTCCACAAAGTTGTAAAGTTCATTTCCAATATACTGTCTTGTGGGTATCATTGTTGCAATGGGTCATCTTGTGACCTTGTTTCAGCATTTTGTTATTCCCCTTCCCCTCCTTGAATTAGACAAATGTATATATAAGATGCAGGGTACCAAAATCAAGTACAGTGACAACAGGGGATACACCATAGGGGAAGAACATGCAAAGGAAACAAAAAAATCACATAGTAGGTTAAAAACCACAACAACAAAGAAAGACCTCTTGGGTTCATATTTTGGGGTTCATTTCACTCATTCTATATGGTCATATGTACATAGCTTTTGAGATTTTCTGCTCACCTGATAAAATTATCCTAGATGTACACTAATTATTGCAAATGAAGGAAACCACGGGACTTACATATCTTTGGGTCTGGCTTACTTCACTTAATATGATTTTGTATTAAATAAAAAATTTTATTGTAAAGATACTGTACAGAGGGGTTACACTTACATGAGCAAGTCCATTTCCTATGGAGCAGAGCATTGTTACCCCCTCCTTTGTTTTTCCCCCTACCATTCCTTTCCTCCCCACTTCCCTAACTCCTCCCTCCTTCCCCCCCCCCCAGCAAAGTTGTAAAGTTCGTTTTTAACAGAGTCTTGAACATCTCATAGTTACAATGGGCCATCCTGTATCTTTATTTCGGCATTTTGTTGTTTCCCTTCCCCTCCCCAAATTAAAAAAAAATGTATATGCAAGATGCAGGGCACCGGAATCAAATACAGTGAGATTGTTGAGAGCCTGTTTGTTCTATTTAGGCCTTCAGCTGGTTGAGCAGAGCCTCCTGTTCCCACCCTCCCATCCCATACCCATCTGGAAGGAACATGCTCCTCTAAGTAGATCTACTGATTCAAATGTTAATGGCGTCTCCTAGACACCTCCACATTTGATGCTTCACTAAATTCCTTCACACAATGTGGCCCCGTCAAGTTGGCATCATTTCTTTGCCAGTCACTTTCTGGAACAAAAGAAATTTTTATTTTGGTTCAGCATAACTTACATAAATGTCACGTTTGTGGGGACAAAAAGGAAAGTGTTCTTGAAAAGGATATTGAATTCCTCTTAAAAAAAAAACTCAGTTTGTTTTCACTAAGGTCTTATTTGACAGAATGGATTCCCCAGGCAAATCTTAAGGGCTAATTTGCTTAATGTTTGAAATAGCTCTGGTTGATGAAGTCCTTTGAATGATAAACTGAATTTTCTTCTACAAGACTTCCTTTTCTAACTTCTCATTTGGATGTGAAGTCACCTGAATTTATCTACCAGTATACAAATGCCAGATGGGCCAAGATGTGGAAGATTCTTTTGGTCACATTCATCAGTGAGGCTAGCATTAAGAGACACTTGAAGGGACATAAAGGATTACTGTGTTATTTTGAGATTGGTGCTTAAGACTGTTACTCTCTTATCTGTTAGTTACAAAAGGAGGGACAGATATGGTTTTCTTAATTATGCATTAGTTTATATGAGAAAAAAGTAAGATTAAGCCCTAACTATCAGACATCAAACATTCACTTTCATTGAAAACAATATTAAAAATTATGAGAACTCTGAAATACCACATCATGTGGACTCCATACTGAGAGGCTTTCTTCTGAGAGACAGTGAAATGTAAGATGTTTCACTCTTGGTTGAAAAGGGGGGAATTTATATTTCTATAGAGCACCATTCGTTGATTTTAGCCCATTGTTCCAGTTCAAAGTGTAGTATGAATTAGACTTTTAATTTTTCTGTCCATTTGTCTGCGATATCTTTTATTTATTTACTTTTTCCCAGTCTGTAGTTCCAACAATCCTTATTCAGATTTAAAGCAAAGATATTAATCAACTTGCCTTTCTTTGAGTAGAATTTGAGAGTAAGAATTCGTAGGAGAAAAAACGCTGCTGAGCCAGAGCCGGGACATGGCTGTGGCCACCCTCCGGTCCACCAACACGGGTCGCCCGGAGGCAGCGCAGTAAGGCTCCAGGCCCAGGGCCGTCTCGGAGGCAGGTGGGCGCGGACCTCACCCGGGCGGTCTTGGCGGCATGGGCCCTGGGCCCCTCGGGCGCCGCTGGGGATCATGTCTACAGCCTCCGCCGCCTTCCTCCTCCTCCTCGTCTTCTGCCAGTGAGATGATTGAAGCTCAGTCCAGGTCCTTAATTTTGAAGAGATCGACTGTAAGGAGATCGAAGTGGAAGAGGTTGTTGGAAGAGGAGCCTTTGGGGTAGTTTGCAAAGCTAAGTGGAGAGCAAAAGATGTTGCTATTAAACAAATAGAAAGTGAATCCGAGCGGAAAGCTTTTATTGTAGAGCTTTGGCAGTTATCCCGTGTGAACCATCCTAATATTGTAAAGTTGTATGGCGCCTGCTTGAATCCAGTGTGTCTTGTGATGGAATATGCTGAGGGGGCTCTTTATATAATGTGCTGCATGGTGCTGAACCATTGCCATATTACACTGCTGCCCACGCGATGAGTTGGGGTTTACAGTGTGCCCAAGGAGTGGCTTACCTACCCAGCATGCAACCCAAAGCTTTAATTCACAGGGACCTGAAACCACCAAACTTGCTGCTGGTTGCTGGGGGGACAGTTCTGAAAATCTGTGATTTTGGTACAGCCTGTGACATTCAGACACACATGACCAATAACAAAGGGAGTGCTGCCTGGATGGCACCTGAGGTGTTTGAAGGTAGCAATTACAGTGAAAAGTGTGATGTCTTCAGCTGGGGTATCATCCTGTGGGAAGTAATAACACGTCGGAAACCCTTTGATGAGATTGGTGGCCCAACTTTCCGCATCATGTGGGCTGTTCATGGCAGTACGGCCACCTCTAATCAAAAATTTACCTAAGCCCATTGAGAGCCTGATGACTCGTTGTTGGTCTAAAGACCCTTCCCAGCACCCTTCCATGGAAGAAATTGTGAAAATAATGACTCACTTGATGCGGTACTTTCCAGGAGCAGATGAGCCATTACAGTATCGTTGTCAGTATTCTGATGAAGGACAGAGCAACTCTGCTACCAGTACAGGCTCATTCATGGACACCACTTCTACAAATACCAGTAATAAAAGTGACACTAATATGGAGCAAGTTCCTGCCACAAATGATATTATTAAACGCCTAGAATCAAAATTGTTGAAAAATCAAGCAAAACAACAGAGTGAATCTGGACGTTTAAGCTTGGGAGCCTCCCGTGGGAGCAGTATAGAAAGCTTGCCCCAAGCTTCTGAGGGCAAAAGGATGAGCGCTGATATGCCCGAAATTGAAGCCAGGATCGCTGGGATCACAGGCAATGGACAACCAAGACGGAGATCTATCCAAGACTTGACTGTTACTGGAACAGAAACTGGTCAGGTGAGCAGTAGATCATCCAGTCCTAGTTTCAGAATGATCACTACCTCAGGACCAACCTCAGAAAAGCCAACTGGAAGTCATCCATGGACCCCTGATGATTCCACAGATACCAGTGGATCAGATAATTCAATCGCAATGGCTTATCTTACACTGGATCACCAGCTACAGCCTCTTGCACTGTGCCCTAACTCCAAAGAATCTATGGCAGTGTTCGAACAGCATTGTAAAATGGCACAAGAATATATGAAAGTTCAAACAGAAATTGCATTGTTATTACAGAGAAAGCAAGAACTAGTTGCAGAATTGAACCAGGATGAAAAGGACCAGCAAAACACATCTCATCTGGTACAGGAACATAAAAAGCTTTTAGATGAAAACAAAAGCCTTTCTACTTACTACCAGCAATGCAAAAAACAACTAGAGGTCATCAGAAGTCAACAGCAAAAGTGACAAGGCACTTCGTGATTCTCTGGGATTGTTAAATTTTAAAATATGCCAAGAAAGACTTTTTTTTAAGAAAAGAAAAACCCTATGACAACTCATGAAGGTTAGCTTTTTTGATGTGTTCTGGATGCCAACTACCTATCTTTGCTGCATTGTTACATCGTTTATTTTCTTCATGGCCTATATGCAAGTTCACTCTCTCATTGAATCACGTGAGGTATCTGTGACTTGGATGGATACACAGCAGTTCTCAACTTCAGAACAGATGCAGTGAACTGTGGCTGTATATGCATGCTCATTGTGTGAGGCTAGCCTAAGCAAACTTGGGGAATCATACTATCTGCTACATGCAAACATCATCCTTATTTGTTGCCCTGTTGGAGGTAGAACCTTAAGAATGGTTTGGTTTTTGTATCTCATCTCAAGGAAATAATCACTGTTTTTCCATAAGGTGGTATGCACCAAGTTAAAGACAGGGTATTATAGATCTACAGTAATTGGTGGGACACTGCAGAAATATAGAACCTTTAGTGAGCGAGGGCTTTGATGGCAGCACATCAGTACTGAACTTGATCCTACTAACTGGGTCAGTACTGAACTTGGTCCCATTGGTTCCACCCATAAAATATTTACAGGTAAGTGGCAGCTGCTATGCCTAATGAAAGCAGTTTGCTAATTTTCACTAGACTAAAAATTGTTTGTAATACATTGAGCAAAATGGAGCTCTTTTTTAAAGACAAATATTTTTAAATCTGTGGGTATTTAAACAATGGCTTTTATGGCTACTGCTAATATCAATCAAGTGAAGTTTAAATGCAAAAGAACATGATCTAGCTTAAATGATCATGTAATGATTATGAATTGTTTTACCATATATTTGAAAATACTGAGATCATGGAAGATAGAAATAATTGCTCCAGGTGAATGGCTTGGGCTTAGATTTCTTTTTGTTATTGTAAATGAAGAATAAAGCAGGCAAAGCAGGAGAAGTTATTTAGTAGTGGAAGTTAAAGAAGTAAAAATAATCCATAAATATCCTCCCTAGCCTAGACATTAGACTCTGGCAAGCCCATTCTGCAATGCCTGCTGCCTTTCAGCACTTGTGAAAGAATTTCAACACTTATCAGGAGAATGTTTATATTCTTAATAGTACTTTGCTACCAACTTTCAAAGTAACTTAAAGATAATAATAAACTATCAGTGAAATATTAAAAAAAAGAATTCGTAGGAATTTTGTCATATTTCATTGTAACCAATTTCTTCTCTATACTTAAAGATCATACTTTTCCTCTGTGAACTGTGAGTTTTGAAGCTTTGTGGTAGAGACTATAGCCTTTCTTTTGCTGCCAGATTATTGTTTTTCTGTGTAAAAATATATTATGTGTCTCTATCTCTTTTATTAGCTATAGGAGAGGGAGATTTAATATTCAGGTCTCTTGTGTAACTTTAAAATAGATTTCCTTCACATGTATATTTTATACATATTCAAATACTGCATTAATGATACATGAAATCACAACTAGTTATCCCATGATTATGCTAGAGGATTATCATGAAACAGAAGTTTTTTCTCTGTCACTCATTACTTAAGTCTTCTCTTTGTGACTAAATCCTTGTTAGTCAATCATGAGTGATGGCAATGATGATTATGATATTGTCACTAGCTAGTTATATGGAGTGCTGTAGAGAACATATGCAAAACTGGGAGTTATGTATTAAAAACAATCTTTGAGTTGAATATCTGTCAGTAGAGCTATACTAGCATTTCTGACTCACTTTTATAAGTGATTCACAACAATTTTAAACAATTTTTATTACAAAAAAAAGAAAATGAGCTTGTAAAATCAAGTAATATCTTGCAGTTGACCAAAGTTTTAAGCTCCTTTTTCACCATAGAATGCTGCTTCGAGTTTTTTAGTAATGGCCTTGTTTTCTGTGGCACAATGGCCTTCTGAATTTTGTCTTTGTTCTTTATGGGAAATTTCAACTTCTGGTTCTAGCTTCT